TTTATTCTTCTTATACCTTAGTTGCGTATGTTATTTACTTCTGCTCTACTTTATACCGACTTCAAGAAGGACTGTGTTTAAAGGAGCGTCATTTTGCTTTTAAAGCTGTTTTGCAAAGTTTTCGGACTACACTGTCTTCTGAAATATTTTACTTCGGGTATGTTTATGCTTATTTTGGCAATAATTTTATCTTTTATATTATGGGGCACACATAAATGGCAATTTGTTTTATTCATTTTTAATAACAACCGTCTATTTCTAACCTGGTTTACTTTGACTTCATTGGCTGTTGGCAAGTGTCGGTTACTGGGTCACTCATGGAAGTGACTGGTTCTGGTTCTGATGTTTCGCTTAAATCCTCAAGTAGAGATGATATCATTGGCGGGTTCACTGTGGTACGCGACAAACTTAGGTACAGAAAACAGAGGGTAAGGGCATTCCTTGTCAAATTGCGTCCCAAAGATCAAGGAAATTCTTCCATTTTGGATGTCATCCCCCGTTAAGTGTTCAGATGAACTCGCGAACGGGATTCCGCTAAGAAAGTTTGAAAGGATTAGCGAGAAGCTACGCACTAATCTGGCGCAAATGGGGATAAAGCGACTGTTTCCAGGTAGGTCTAAAATCCTCTTATGTGTTCTAGTTCAAAGCGTTGTCATTCCTAGTATTCTGGATTCTTACGAGGATCGGAGTCGCCTTTATTGTTGTCAACCCCGTGATATTTGCATATCAGCCCCCACTGGAAGCGGCAAAACTTTGGCATATCTATTGCCCATCCTTCAGGCAAGCAGATTTATTTTCATTCTTGTTTAGCTACTTGGCACGTGTAGAAGCAAAGTTATTAGGGCTGTTATCGTTCTTCCAGTTCGAGACTTGGCTAAGCAAGTGGCTGAGACGATTCATCGCCTTGCATATGACACCTCGCTCCGTGTAATACTAATTATTAATTCTTACTCCATAGGTCGTTCTTCTCACTGGTGAAGATAGTTTCACAGTTGAGCAGGATAAATTGCTTATTAAGTAAGTCAGTACCTTAGGTCTAACTTGAAAAGAAACGCTGGGAATCTTATTTTGCCCGACATCGTCGTTTGTACTCCTGGGCGCCTTGTGGACCATATTTACAATACCCCGAATTTTTGCCTTGAGCATATTCGATTTCTAGTAGGTTTGAACTAGGACATAGGATATTTTTAACATACTGCAATGCGTTTCCGATTACAGTTAGATCCATGTTCCCACAGGTCATCGATGAAGCCGATCGTGTTATCGTCGAGGAAAAGCAGGACTGGTACAACATTTTTGAAAGGGCGGTTTATGGTATTTCAAATTTGTCTGAATCAAAAGGTCGACTTAAACGGTCGTTTCCTCTCCCAACTATCGAGTCACAATGCTCGGTGACTCTCTTCACATTGCAAAAAGTTGGTTTTGGTATTATTCTTTGAATATTTTGCCAGTTATTTTGCTCTCTACCAGCCATGACGTTTCGACTACCGTTTATTTCTTAAATCAATTGAAGCTTTGTGTTATTTACGTCCACTTTTTGGTTATTTGTTACCTTTAAGGTGGTTGATTTTGGGAACTGCTATGCAGGCAGGGTGATATCCACTGTTATGTGCTGTGAATGTCTATGCTTGATAGTTAGAATGTACTAGTTGTAGCACCTATTGTATTACTTTTTCCCTAAACTTTTAGATATTGCTTTCGGCAACGCTGACCCATGATCCAGAACCGCTGAAACGATTTCGCTTGAATTTCCCTCGTTTATTTTTGGCGTCGGGCAGACCAGCAGAGTCTAACGTAAAAGAACTACTGCAAGGAAGTTACACAAAAGGGCAGTGTGCCAATATTGGATGTGAAACCCATGATAAGCCAGAAGAAAAGAACCACTGCCTAAGCAGCGTTCGGGAACAAACTGGCGATGGTAGCACTGGTGGTGTTGGTGTGTTTTCAACGCCAAGTGGATTAAAAGAATTCTTTGTTGAATTAGTTGAGAGACAAAAGCCCCTATTTTTGGCTCATCTCATAAAAAGGCTGGGACACGAAAGAATTCTTTGTTTTACCAACTCTCGAGAAGCAACCAAAAGACTCGCAGTTTTAATGTCTCACGTTGAAGGTGTTAAGGCCGGGGCATTAAATGCCGGCATGCCATTAAAAAAAAGAGTGCGTTTACTTTCTTCTTTTGCTAGTGGTGAATTTCAGGTAAGCTTTCTTATCTTTGTTCTTGGTGCTATAATAGCTCGTTGAATTCCTTGAAATCTCATGCCCACTATCGACCTTGCAGAATTGTCTGGGCCAACTTTTAATAAACAGGTTTATTCCCGCGCTAGTGTATTTGGTCTTATTCAGGCACTTTAACCACTGGTATAAGATTTTTTAGATGAAGTTGGGATTGTAGAGAGATTGAGAGCCATATTTAGCTCCTCAAGGTATTATGTCGCTTTCAGCTCTTGGTATGTACAGATGCGGTTGCTCGAGGCATAGACATTGAAAATGTTTCCTGTGTGGTATCTTATGAAGCTCCACAATCAGTCAAGACATACGTCCATCGAGTCGGCCGTACAGCCAGAGCGGGTAAAACTGGTCAGGCATTTACACTGCTTCTTCGGAATCAGGTAAAGTGTGCAAAATCCCTGTTTTTTTGAATATCCAAAGAGCATTGTTGTGACATAATTTTGGTTGCTTTTAATATATTTAATGATCCTTTCATAGATACGGTACTTCAAATCTAGTCTCAAATCCGTTGGCAAACGCGCCAGGAATTTCCCCATTCATAGTAGCAAATTGAGGGCCTACGAAGCATCCTACAAGGGTGCACTGTCCCACCTTGAAAAGGAATTTCGTGTGAGTCTTGCAGATCTGCAAACAAAAGCCGTTCTATGTCTAAATGGTATGGGGTTGCTTGGCTCGTTGCGATATTAATACCAATGGAGATTCTACATATTTCTCTGCGTAGTCTCGGCTTAAATATTTGGGTTTTTTTGTGTAGATCGTTTCGCTTGAATATGTGTTCTCATCCTGCTACAGTGCATTGTTCTCTTTTTCACTGTTCTTGAAGTTAAGGCCACGAAAGTGATTTTACTGTTTATGCTTTTTTTCAGACCAAACCTAAAGATGCTTTTGGTATTGCTACGGAAGTTGACGATGAAAGCCATACAAGGCAGCAAGAATCGCAGAGAGAGTAGGAGAGGAGATGGTAAAGGCCCAAGAGAAATGCAATTCAGAAAGCTAGAAAACTTGGTGTACATTTCCATTTAATTCTACAATCGCGCTATTTGCCTCAATAAATTTCATTTTGTGTAATAACTTACCCAATTTTGATTTTCCTCGTTTACATTTATTGAATAACCCAGGGTCAGAATATGGTTAACACTTGTTCCTCTTTTCTATTTTAATAGCAATGTTTTTGCAATGGGCTTTTGATTAGAAGTTAATGTTTACCGTTTCAAGTTGTTTGCAGCAGGAAAACAAATCAGGCTTGTAACTCCCGACCTTTGTTTGGTAATCTGTAGTATTAATTTCCAGTCAGCCGTGGTAGATGTTTTTTCTCGTTGGTACTATGGATTACTTTAATAGCATTTTTAATTGAAATGTTCAACTGCAGCATGACAACAATGCTGTGGCCTAGTATGCGCCGTCAGTGTCAATACGTTCTACTCTTGATGTACACTTTACAGCAGAGGTGCGTATACCTGTTCTAAATGCGAATACTTTAACTTTTATAGGCCTCCTTGGATGCGTAAACTGATGAGAGTGCAGGTCATTTTCGCGATCTTTCTTGTTCTCACACTAGCGGATGATCCAGGTAAAAGTCTGTTCACTTACTTTTGTAAAGCACTCCAGAGAAATATTGTCTGCGATTTGGAGCAGAGGGCTTTGCATTTGAGGCTACGTTGTTCCCTTACGCCAACAACTTCTGGAGCTTGGGACCAATGTTCAGTTAATGTTGATCTTGCTCGAGGTAGTTAAATGCGTCAAACTAAATTGTCTACGAGCATAAAGTGTGGTACACAAAGATATTACTACCACTCTTAAGGTATTTACGCCAATCCATACGAACTGGCGGACAAATTGCCTGAAGTGAAATTTACGATTGCAAGAAAGGCTACACGTGAAGCAGGTCGACTGTCCAGGTTCTTCTTCTCCAAAAAGAGTGTCGAGTCGGAGAGCAGGCAGGAGATTTCCCTAAACGCCTCGGAGGTAGATATCGAGGCACCAAGCTGGAAGTCAGAGCCCACACGATGGAAGTTTGCTCTTGATTCACAGCGGCAGATCTGGGGCTCCAATGCAGCTATTGAACTCAGTATCCCCTTGCACCTGCGCTATAAGTACGCCCGACCCTATTCTTCATATCTTCCATTCACCTTTCGTATCGATGTTTAAGTGTTGTGATTGTACAGTAGAACCATCAGTAAAGAAATAACTAAACGTATTGCTAGGATCGCAAAGTTAGACTTAGCAAAATAGGAAGTCGAATTGTTACTGACGATATCTGAATGGCTTAATTCGAAGAAAAAACTGGGATATATACTCCGATTCATTTTCAGCCTCCCATCACGCTCTGGTAAGCCAGGAGGTGGAATAGTCTCGCGTACACTAATTGACTGCTCCGGAAAAGTGGCAGGAAGCTACAGTGGGCAACACAAGGCCACCTCGCCCTCGGGCTGCTCTTCAGACCTCTTATTGGTGATGCCACTTACTCTCATTTTACTGGTCATTGGAATTATTATCCTTCTTCTTCACTAGCTGCTTCAACACTCGGATTCGCACACACCCGTCTTTCTCACCTCCATATTTCCGGGAACCACCACTGGTGCTTACACGTCTGTGAATGCGTAAAAGCGCAAGAAAATAAGAACCACACCTATATGGCGTTCCCCTCCATGAATTTCTATATCTTAGCGGGGTTTCAGGTTAAAACCTGGCAAACTGTGGCCTTGTCCTCCCCCAAAGGTTTAGATGACCTTGGAACCCAGACATTTTGGAATGTGAGATATAGAAACAACCCTTTGACCTAGCTAGGACCTGCCTTATTGATGATGAACTTATAAGGGCATCACTTTTGATGAAAAATGCTGACGCTTTTCCTATTTGAATTTCATCTCAGCGAATGGGTTATGACACTGCGGACTTTTGCATCGGCTCGCGATGGTTCGCCCGAGCATCCTGGTAGGCTTTCGTAGCACAAACAATACCATTTCTGATTTTGGAGTCGCCTATTTAGTGAATACTGTTATTGCGCAGTAGTCTGTGTTCGAGTTCTGCTTTTTATGTCAACGCCAATGCGTCCATTACTGGTGATTTTACTTTCTCCTAGGGTGGATAGTCTTACAGGGAAACTAGATCCCAAAGTGTATGCACAATTAGGCGTCTAATAAAAGCATCAATTATGTGAATATCAAAGGTCGTTGCTTCCGTATTAGTTAACGCTCATTAAGGGACGGGAAGGTTAAATTACTCCATGGAAAATCAAGCCAAACGCTCAATAAACTTGTAACTCCGTGAAAAAGTACACAGAAGGGCTTAAAGTCAGTGTGATCATGGGTCAAAATTGGGGGTAACTGGTAGAGGAAAATTAGGCGCAGTCACTCGTTCAGTGTGCGTGCGTCTCAGTGATCTCAAGGCCTTTCAGCGACTAGGAAGTCTCCTCCGAGGCCTGCGAGAGGAGGTTAGCAAATTGCTCAATCTCCCTCCCCGCATGCTCCTTTATTCGTTGCGGGTCGGGTTCTATCAAAAGATCAAACAATCAATTGAATAAGTTATTTAATGGTTGATTTGCAATTTGGTATCAAAATCGCTGGTCCTACACTTACCGCACTGGTCAACTGTTTATGGCAAGAGAACAGAACATGAAAACAGTAATGCCATTTGATTCGGGTAGAATGGATGTATTTGATCATCTAAGACTGTTCACTACGATCAATATTGCGTAAATTGATCCACAAGCATGGTGGCATGGTAATAATTATAATAATTATGATAAACAAATTGGGTAAAGTGGAGCACCAATCAGTAGTGATTCTTCGATTGTTCAAAAAGCGTGATCACAGCCTAAAAATTGTTATCAGACTGTTAGGTCTGGCAACTTGCAATTGAATGGGAAGGTGGCGTACGTGTGTAGTCAACGCCGAGATGGGAATGGGTGCGCTCGAGCGCCAGGGCCTCCAGTTCCGCGTAGTGCCTCTGGAGGGACGGATTTGGTATTGCCTCCGGGTGGTACTTGGTGGACAATTTCTTTACGATCGCCCTGGCTGCTTCCACTTTCTCTGGTTCAGCTTGAGATAGCAGTGAGCCCAGTAATATCAATGGAAGGTTTACATGGATTTTCTATTGTCATATGTTATGTATTTCCATCTACGATGATGATTTTGCGGACCAGAATCTGACGTGGATGGGTATAGGTTCAACCATCATCCTGATATTCTTCTTATTAGTCAACTGTTGTGCAATAAGAGGTAAATTAGTAATAAACGCCCTTCATAACCTACCGCAGGCCAAGCTTCCGAAAAATTGTGACAGTTAGATTAGAGTACCAAAGTTTTGCACAAAAATTAAGGTATCCCGAAACTTTACAACAGTACCATTGCGGCAGATGATATCCAGAGCTACGTACACCCCCTATGTTAGGTGTTGAAAAGATCTATGGTGAGTAATTAGTTCATATAAGTAATAACGAGGTCGTTTTTCGCTTCGAGACACAAATGGCGCGGAAAAAGAAGCTATAGACATGGATGAGCATGCCTTACAGCACGATGCTGATTTACACAAAGAAGGTTGATGAAAATAACACTTACGCCATTTCGATTCATCAGAGATACTGAAAAGAGAAAATAAGTACCTAGTGGACATTTAGACAGCTTAAAACGTCTAAAATCCTCCCGATATGGAAGATAGAGGACGTGAAATCCTGGACCTGAAACTTGTGCCCCACATTCATCCAGTTTCTCTGCCTGCAATAAAAAAGTAGATTTAAACGACAGCTAAATGGATCAACGTAGACAGACAACCAGAGAGAGAAGAATTTACTTGAGGAACGAGCGCAACCAAATGCGGTGACATCCCTCGACGGTGCACGTAGAGTGCCACGGCAAAGGCTTGCTTCCTCAAGCAGGCAGAGAGGAGCGTCGTAAACCACAGGGTGCTACCTTTGGCCATACCTTCTTCAGGAAAGAGAAACTGCGACGTTTTCAATTGGCACCAGGGCTTCAGCTTTCTAAGCGACTTGAATCCAAGTAAGTGAATACCTTACAACAAAGGTAATTGCTGAGACTAAGCGAATGAATATTTATCATTCATCAACTGAAACGACATGTAATTAAATATCAATGCATTCGATAGAATAAGCCTTAGAACAAGTTTTGATTGTTCAAAGTGAATCAGCCCTTACCTGCCGCAGCAACTTGTCTTAGGCGCCCAGTAAGTTCACTTTTCTCAAAGCGGACTGTGCGATTCCCAACTCGAAGTCCTCGAACAATATCCTGTGGCATAACGACATTCCCAATGCCCTCCTTTACACCTCGGGAATGCTGATCATCTCTCGGGACCTTGTGGAATCGGCGCTTCACTGTGATAGCCTCGTTGGTTTTAGCAAACAAGCGCACCTTATTTAATGAAAAGAAATTATCCTTGGATCAAACTCAACAAATTAGCTATAACATTTGTAAATTAGGGGGAAAGCTACTGGTCTATGAGAAAACACGAGCTAGTTGGGTATAAAAGAATCAGTGGTACGAAGAATAAGACTCAAACATTTGACAAAATTAATTGCTGAAATGTCAACAAACAGTTCAATCAAAAGCAAAGAGTTTCAAATTACTCCTGAATGGGGAATGCATCCGCATAGAGGAATGTCAAATTCGGAGTGTTACAAAAGTGTTAGACAGTGGAAATTTCTTGAGGTCACAGACTATTGATTCCGAATGATTGAATTGGCACTTTTGAGGCCATGTGGGGTAAAAAACGATTTCTATCAGGGGCAAATATGTTACATGACTCAAAAGAAAAAATGAGCTCTTAACTGCTCTTCTCATGACGTCAATAAAATTGTGTAATAGCGGTCAACCCTTTCCGGCCTTATAGTGCAATGAAAATAACACAACCACAAATCAGATGAATTTAAGCCAAGTCTAATCTGAGATCAATGTGA